ACACATCCTCCAGTAACTTTTTTTTCACTATGAAAATGTTTTAATGGTAGTGTCTGTACAGCATATGATGTCAATCCAGTAACTTTTATAGAAAGGGTCTATGGGAGGTAACTTTTGTGATACAGTGCATGTTTGCAAATGTCTTCTATCTCCACACGGGCCTAGAATCCTAGGTGGGAAATGCTTTGTCCTCAGAACTTCTAAGGCATGGCTCCACTGTCTTCTAGTTCTGGTTTGGCTGTGGAGATGTTTGATGCCATTCTGCTTCTTGATTCTTTATGTTATTGGTTCTTCCCCCGCAACCCTTTATGGACATTTTTTCAAGAATTTCATCTTGCTATTGTGAGCATCAACCAGAGAAGTGCCACAAACCATAAGATAATTTAGTAATGTAGCAGAAATACAATATATAATGGGGGAAAATGCCATTTATAAATTCAACACAAAAGATAAACTATCCAGGAATAAACTTAACAAGGACACACAACTCACCCATTTTTTTTTTTTTTTTTAATATCTTGCTCAGAAAGGCCTTCCCCACTATAAGGTTACCATTTCCCCCCATGTTTCCTTCTTACGCTTTTATGGTTTATTTGATTATATGAAAATTGTTAATCTATGTAGAATTCATGTTAATATAAGAAATCTGAAATGTGAGCCTCATTTTAGGAGGGGAATCATGTTTTATTTTTAAAGAGAAACTCTGAAGTAAATCACTTGACCTTAAAAGAACCTTTATGAAATTGCTGCCCTTGGCTGATAAGAGAAGATAAAAGAGAAAGAATAGTTAGAACACAGGAAGTAACCAAAGCACCTATCAGGTTGAGGCACGTTTTCAAGTAAGACTGACCTTGAGTCTGTTTTCCTGTCTTTCAAGGACTACAGGTTACTCTGTTTTTCCTTCCATTTACTGTGAAGAGTTAAGCACTCTTGCTGCAGGATTGTCTTGACCCATCTGAAATGAAAAAAATGCCAAGAACCTTGAAACATGCTTTAGATGGTTACGAGAAGATAAAGAATATCTGGTGTAAACTGTGCTTATTATGCATTTGAAATGTATGCGAACTTGCAATAGCTTCCCTGTGCTCCCCTCCTATAGCTCAGGCCTCATTCTCCAAAGGAGAAAGGCCAGGAAAGGGGTTTTGAAATGGCCATTACAATCCTTTGTCCTCTTCTGCGGGTATCTGCAATGAGTCTGAGTAAGAAGTAAAAGAACTTCTGATAGTTTCTAAACTAAAACATACAGTGGAGCTTTGATAGTCTTAACAGGATGCTAGTAGAGATTCAGGTTCTCTTGTAAATCACTGACCCGTTTGTCTCAATGACATAATTTAAAAACCCATCTTTTCCCTATTGATTTCAAATCCCTGTTTTTGTTTGGGTCATTTCTGATCTCTCTTCTGGTCTTGTATCCAGTCTTTCCCCCTCCAGTTTATCATCCCCATTGCAGAAAGAGTGCTCCTTTTAAAAAGAAAATGTAATCGTGTCAACCCTCAGTCAACCATGTCAGTGAATGAAGTCTTAGAACAACAGCTCACGGATTCCTCTGTCTGGCTGTGTCCTCCACTCAGGCCACCCTCCCCTCTCTCATCATACTTCAGCCATGCTGATCTCATGGTTCCTCTTTGGAGACCATGCTCTTTGTTCTGCTGGCAATATTCTTTCCCCATGGTAATGAAGTGCCAGCTAAATATCACTTCTATCCAGAAGTCGTAACTCACCTCTGAGATGAGACTAGATCTGCCTGGTACATGGTCTCCAGGTTAGTATACTTTTCATTTGGAGCATCTATAAATGATATCTATAAATAGTTCTTTGTATAATTACTCATTAACTACCCGCTTTCCCTATTGTAATTTCAAGAGGGTTTTTATCTATCTTGACCACTGTTAAATCCAGAGCACCTGGCCCAGTGCCTCACGTATAGTAGATGCCCATTAAGTATTTGCTGTATAAAGGTAAGAGCATCTTCACGTGACCTGTAGTTTAGCAAGAGGATGGCAATAATTAATTGTAACACACGTATTATTAAATGTATGTATGGTGTGTGTGTAAAATCTCGAAAGAGAGGAACCAATCAGTCCTGAGTGGCGAGCACTCAGTCCCCCAAGGCCATTAGAGCCCAAGTGTAAATGCAGGATAAATCCGTGGATGGTGAGAAGTGATGGTAGAGCACACACACACTGCCACTGCAGAGAGAAGGAGCATCCAACCAGGCAGAAAACGGTATTTTCCAAGGAGGTGACTGCTGAGGGCAGAAGGAAGAACAGGAATCAAAAGAAAGAATAGTTGGACTGAGGTGGTGGTTGAAGGGATAGGTGAGTGACAGCAACAGAAGCAGAAGTTCCAGGCTGAGGGAACTGCACTCACAAGGCCAATGGCGGCAGCAGGGAGATCGCTTAAGAAACTCTGCTCAGAGATGCAGGGGCGGGTTGTGGGAAGAGGAAGTGAGCCAATTCCAAGGTTCAGACTTCATCCCATGGCCAGTGGAGTGCCACTGAAAGATTTCAGAGGGGGCATGGTCATATCTACATTCTAGGAAGGTAACTGATGACAGGGCCAAGAAGGTGGGCCAAGGAGAAGGTGGGTGCTATCATCCTAGGCAGCAGGATTCCGGGTCCCCAGCAGGTGCTCAAGCTGAGTCTGCCATGACCAGAATGTTCTCAGGGCGGGAGAGCCATCCTTCCCCGGCTTCTCCTCTTCACCGAGGCTGGTCTGGGCGGATAGTGTCTGAGCGCTGGCGTGCAGGCTCACGTGGCCCAGGCCAGGCTCGCTTCTCCCTCTCTGCCAGTGTGGCCTGGGCAGGGTGGCACATACCAGAGTCTTCCTGAGGTCACTTGCCATTGTTCCGTATTTAGTGCAAGAAGCTGCCCAGGCCCAGAGCGATCTGGCATTGGAAACAGGGCGGGACAAGGGCGACATGGAACAGGCCATCCTTGAAATGCAGAAGAAACTTGAAGCTGTGAGTATAGACCCAACCCTTGCTTCAAGCGCGTTTTTGGCTTTGTCACTAAGATCCAGAGAGACACCTTTAATGTTGCAAATTTTCAGCGAAGGACAGAGGCCACCACAGGCTCCTTGTTAACGGGCAAGGGAAGAGTCCAGCTTTCTTCCCCAGGTTCGCCCGCTCAGTGTGGACCCTGGAGCCCTGCTCGAGTGTGGCCATGCTGCCCCTGTGAAGTGCCCAGCAAGGGACAAGCGTGGCTTCTGCTGGCACATCCTTTGATCCGATCACACTTTTTTTTTTTTTAAAGATTTTTATTGGGGAATTGGGGGGATGGGAACAGCGCTGGGGAATTGGGGGAAGGGGAACAGACAAGTTGCTGTTGTTTTGTTCTTCAATCTAGTTGTGGAGGATGTTGCTTCACTGGCCCAAGTTGGCACCATCATTGCGCTCTTCTCTGGCGAGGCAGATCAGTCGCCGGCTTCTGGACGGCCGCTCAGTGCGGCTGCTGGCCGCTCACGCTGGCTGCTGGCTACATACGGTAGCCCATGGCAACCCACTGCCACAGGGAGTGCAGCCTACGCCGTCGCCAGCGACTCATGGCAGCCCAGCTCCAGGTTGAGCTGTCGTTCAGCATCTTAGCTGTGGAGGGCAGTGTCACTGGCCCTCATATGTGGGATCCGAACTGGGGCCCTCTGGCATCCCAAGCGAGTTCTTAACCATCGCGCCACTCAGCCGGCCCCCGATCGCACTTTTCACTGTGTGTTCTGAGCTGTACTGTCCGTAACTCTCTTCTTTCTCACTGCCTTTCCCTAGAGACAAGCAGAGTTTCTAGAAATGAAGTCCAGCCTGAAGCACCTTGAAGCTTTGGTTACCCAGCAGAGTAAGGACTTCCAGCAGCTGTGTGACCAGCTGGGCCAGCTGAATGTCCCCTGTGTCCTAGCAGAGCTGAAGAGATTGACCTCCATGCCTGGAGTGCCCCGGCACGTGAAAGACAGCACTTCCCAGACCTCACCACCTCTGGCCCAGAGCCCGCATTTCAGCAGGCAGGACAAACATGCCTCTGAGGAACCAGTGATGGGGCAGGCCCAGGCCCTCCCTGCTGCACAGAAGGTTAGAATGGGCTCCCTGCGGCCTGGGGCCCTTGGTGCCTGGGGTGAGGGAGCCAAGAGTGCTGCTCTCCAAGAAGAGGCTGCGCTGCTGACAACTGGAGGAGGCAGAAGAAACAGGCGCATAAGTGACAAGGCCATGCAAACGCCCTGCAAGAAGCAGGACGTTACTAAGACAGGCTCTGAGAGCCATGGGGCCAGCATCCTGGCTTCCCAAGGAGCTCCGCGGCTTATATCCCTGGACTTAAACAACTTTGCAACCAGCAGTAAGAACACCCGCCAAAAACGTCGAGCCAAAGGGATGTTTCCATGCAACACCTCTGACCAAAATGTAGTGACTGAACAGAAAGGCACAACTGTAGAAAAAGGGGGGACAAAGAAGCAGCAGCAGCCCAGGAAAGCCCGCAGAGGCAGGCCCCTAGCCAGGAAGCAAGAGCAAAACCCAAGCAAAACCCGTGCTTTCAATTCTAAATGTCCTCAATCTCCAGTTTCTGGCTCCCAAAGGTCCCCCCCAGAGCAGCAGGAACCCCTTGTTCAACCCCTGCATCTGCACTGCCCCAGGAGCCCCATAGAGTCAGCCTGCCCCTCTCTGGGAGGAAGACTCACACCCAGAAAGAGGGCGAGCCAGGTGCAAGGGGATGTCTTGCAGCCCAGAGGGCGTGCTTCCCAAAACAAGAGCTCCCATGGGGACCACCAGATAAGCTGGTTCAGCGACCTCAACCTTGAAAGTTTCGAGTCCCCTCTGTGCAAGAAGCCAGGGAAGAGCCTGCTCTATGACCTGTGCTTTGATAGCAGCGATGATGGCTTCTGACCAGCCACAGTGACCTCAGCTCAGCTGATGGTTTATTGGTCTCCGCTGGAAAGACAAATTACAGAGAGGTTGGCTCTAAGCCTGCTTGGGACCCTCAGGGTCAAGAAGCCCTGCTGAAGGGGTCAGGATGCAGATCTGGCATCCTGGGTACCAGGTGCTGCCCATGACAGGGCATAAGGGACAAGTGCACACTTATTTATTGGAATGAAGAAGGTGGTGATGAGAGCTGGCACGGGGCACCTGGAAGTGGGGCTGAGCTGGTGAAAGGAAGGCTGGCCCCCAAAGGGAGCACCGACTAGCAGAAGACTCTCAGTTGCTGTGGGAACACAGCTCTCAAACAATATGTTTGGTCTTCACAATATTCCCTACACGTGACCAATACCTTTCCAGGCCTCAGGATTTTTTTTCTTATTATTTTTATCCAGTTTTGCTGTCAGGGTATTTGCATTTTTCAGTGGACATATTACAGGACACGTTAACTCGGTCTTCTGTGAAGAGAAATAGAGTTAAAGCTACCAGTGTCAGAGAGGTGACAGGCAGCAAACTAATGCCCAGAGCACTGCTGTTCACAAGCCACGCAATTCCTTTTCTCCACATCCTGTTTTTCAACCACTTTTAAAGTTAATAGAGCAGCTGTGAGTCTTGTATTATTTCTGGACATCAGTGGGCTTATGAGACTTTGGTTTTCCATTTATATCTTGCTGACGTTTTAGAATGCTTGCAATACATGTGTATTTCTTTTGCAATTAAAAAATTTTAAAAATAGATAAAACTTTTAAAGCATAGTTTTTTCCTTTCATTAAGTTTATTGAACTGATCTGCCATCAGTTTACTTAAATCAAATAAATAAGATGCAAACCATCTTTTTATTCCTTAGACGTCTCACAAGATTATTTTGAATATATGACACCTGATGGTTTTTCTTTTCCTTTTCCTTTGTTGTGTGAAAGTAAAAATCCTCATAGGATGGACGGCTTCCAGGAAATGCCCATTTTCAAGCCCCTACAGTAAATGACATTGGGACCTCTGAGTGGACCATTAGAATGCAGTGGTTCTTGGATCCGGCTGAGTGGCTCAGCTGGTTAAGAGCTCACGCAAGAGTGTGAGCTCTGAGCAACAGCGGTTCGATGCCTGGTCCAAGCTGAGTTGCCACTGAGCTGCCAACAGGTGGCAGGATGGCTCAGCTGGAAAAAAAAATTTTTTTTTAAATGCAATGGTTCTTGATTTCTTGTTTTTATATTTATTTTCAGGAGTGTGTATCCCACAGAAGCCCCTGAGTTTAGTTTGCCTGCTTGACCTTTGGCAGGGGACCCAGGCACCGGCGCAAACCCCAGGGCCTCCTGAGGCCTGTAGCTGGGAGCCACGGGCCATGGCAGCAGCCTGTCCGCGGGGCTGCCTCAGGCTGGCCGGGCCTCTTCCTCCCCATGGGCCTCCTGCGCCTCCACCAGCCTCCACTGCCTTTCCTGCTGGTTTTCTCTGCATGTGCCCCAAAGGCCTGGGAGGAAGGGGCTCAGGCAGCCAGGGCCTCCTTCCAGACCTTCCCAAACTGACTATAGGAGGCTGTGGAGCAATTAGCATGAGGCTCACAGAGCGGAGGATCCGGATCTGGAAATCTTTATTACTCTAAGTTGAAAAGTTGAATCATTTTAATTCAAAGCTGAGACCTGTTGAAAGAGCTCCATATTATTTATGACTATGGCCTTGGCGTGGAAGGGTCTGTGCAACTGTACTGCCGAAGCAGGACCCTCTGTTCTCTGATTCTGCTGTGAGATGAATCTTGTATTTCTTGAGAATTATTTCATTTGATGTCATGAAGTCAAAGTTCCGAGTGACTCAGTGTTCCATGAGCTGGGTGTTTTTGTAGAATGAGCAGTAAATTTATCTCCTTACAAGGCTGGGCTAATTAAAACTACACTGTCTCTGGCAATCGTCAGGAAAGGAGACTCTGTTTCTTATTTTATTCCTAAGGCTTTTTTTTTTTCAAACACCTGTATTCCTGCCAGATTTGGTGAGCGTGACACAGCCCAGGCACATCCCTGGGGCACGCAGATGTATGGGACTACACAGGAGCCAATATGGTGGGAGGTCCATGGGCCTTGGCCCAGACAGCCACCGAGGGGCTCCTCCCTCTGATACAACCCCAGCGACAGTCTGAGGATGAAAATGAAGCCCACGGCAGCACCTAACTGTCTTGACATTCAAGTGTCAATTTAAATGTCACCTACGGAGAGCTTTTCCTGACCTCTCCCCTTCTGAAGTTCACCCTACTCACGGCCCATTCCCGTACTCCATTTTTATTTCTCAGACAGCTCCATCCGAAAGGATGTATTAATGTGTATACCTGTGTTTTACCTGCCTTGCCCAGTGACATGTAAACCGGGAGGGCAGCATCTGCCTCCCCTCTATACCCTCAGCATCCAGGACAGTGTCTGACACTTGTAGACACTTGATAAATATTTACTGTGAGCAGAGATTGTTGGCTTATCACTCTTAACAGCTCCTTGCAGCCCTGTCCCGAAAGTCAGGTCTCAGCATCCCCTTGCAACTTCCCTTTTTTGGGTTTTGTCTCAGAAGTTCCAAAGGGCTCCTGACGAGGCATCTCCTACAAGATGCCCACTTCTTCCCCAGGCTGCTCTCCACCCGAAATACCCAGAATACCTTTAAAAAAAAAAAAAGCTGCTTTCTATAAGGGTCGAGCAGTTTTGAAAATTTTTTCATGCCAGGTCTTAGTCTAAAACTCATCAAATCAGGCAGTTTCCAGCTGGCCTACCACCGAGATTCTTCCCCACTAGGACTGGGATCCATTGTCAAGATTTTCTGAGTAAAACTTTGTTCAGTCTATAAATATAAATTTAACTGGAACCTGAAATATTAATGTCCTTCTACATACTCCAGGGAGGAAGCGAATTGCCAGAGCCTTGGGTTGTCCCAGGAGGACAGCCAGCCTTTTCAGCGACCTGCAGTCAGGTGCAGTGGCCTCCCTTGTTCGCTCGCCTCGCTCACTGGTCTTCACTGCCCTCTGAAAGGGCTCCTGCTTCACTTAGAGGCGGTGCAACTCTGGTACCAGGTGAGCCCCTGGCCATTCAGGAGCAGGGAGATTGGCTTGAATTGGGCCTCCTTTGCAGAGCCTTTTCATCAGCTTGATCATTAACAGCTCTGAAGTCCTCCAGTGGTTGAATGAGGTTAGTGCCCTACCAGCACATTCCTGGATGCCAACGTGAGGGCCCCAGGCCCCAGGTTGTCTGTCACCTTCCTCCTGGTCTCCTGATCCCCTTGGACTCTTCCCTGGGATTGGAAGAGGAAGGTCCAGGACAGTGCCAGGGAGCCAGAGCAGGGGGGCCCTCAGGTGGCTCCACTATTCCTCTAATGAGGGGAACAGGAGGCAAGGGAGGGGGAACCCTGAGGCTCAGCGATGAGGCCTCCGTGCCCGGCTGTGCTGGCTGGAGCCACACAGAGGCACAGGCTCATTATCCAGGAGGGTCCCAGAGCTCACCTGGTGAGAGTTCAGACTCTGGTCTAGACCCACATATCTAGACAGCCATGGCCAGGGATGTGGGGAACACTGCAATCCTGACTGCGCTGGGCAGGGTCTCCAGCCCACGGCCATCCCTGAACTGTCCTTTGAAAGAATTGTTGCTCAGGCCTCAGCTGTGGCCCCCTGCTCCTTGCCGGACCTTCACTGGGCCATCCACTCACCCCTTTGTTCCTGTCCCTTATTCCCCAGCCTCCCCCTCCAGCCCACAAGCCTCACCTAGGAGCTTCTACAGACCAGCTCCTGCCTTAAGTGCAGCTACGAAGTCTCCCAGTCTGCATATAAAGCTGATTTCTAGTGGCTTTGGCATTGACCCTGGTGGGATACAGGCAGGGGACCTGGAGGGACCCAGCTTCTCACATGCCTTGTGCTGTTTGTGACTAGCAGGTTCCAAAGCTCTTATTTATTCTTGGAGCTGCCTTGTTTCTATTTTGATTCTGCTAATCCAAATTGCAGTTTGGTGTTTCCACGGAAACAATTCAGTGGTTGGCTTGCCAGGGTGAACTGCAGAGGGAAGAGAACCGAATGACGTAAAACATTTTTAGTTCCTCAGTTATGACTATTAATGTCTCCCGGGGAAGTCTTTGGTCCCAGCTTCCTGCAAACCTGGGGGTTTTATTAAAATAAATGTTTCAGTCCCGTTACCCCTACAGCCAGATCCCTGGAGACCCATTCCCTAAGCCCCCGCTCTGCTCAGAGGAGCACATGTCTGCCCGCTGCACTGAAGCAAGTGACAAAGGCAGGAAGGTGTCCTTGGGGCACCTCAGGGAGCCAGGCATGCAGAGAGGGCAGTAGATGTCACCAGGAAAATGACCACCCTTACTTATCTGGGACTGGCATGCCAGAGGCTCAGGGCTCACCTGCTTTACCGAGGAAAGGCTGTCCCTCCAGGATTCTGTGATGAATTGCCCCTGTGATAAATCTGAACTTTCACATAAATGGAGGTGTACCAGTCTGTGAGGCCGGGGAGAGGCTGAACCCTCACTCACACCCCACCCCGACACCATGCTTGGCCCTGGTTCCCAAGGGCTACCAAAAAAATTCCTCTTTTCAGTCTCCTAGGATTAGATCCTGTTCCCAGCAGCCACATCCTCTGCAAAGCCCCAGGAGGGAGCATGAGCCTAGTTCCCAGAAACAGCTCTGCAGGCCCCTCAGGGAAGGGCAGTTCCCTTGGCATGTCCCTCTGAGCCCTCCTGTTGCGGGCTCTGGCCTCTGCCCCAGTCCATGGACACTTAAGGTCACCTGGAGAGGGCTGCCCATGGCCGGTTGACAGAGGTGAGGGTTTAAAACAAAAAAAAATATTTCTGGGCCTGTCGAGTGGCACGTTGGTTAAGAGCTGGCTTGGGATGNCACACACACACACACACACACACACACACACACGATCTAGAATCCGTACGTTGATATGCATCTGTATCAATGCAAAATTCCAGGACTGCTCATAATGTTAAATCCAGAAAGTGGAACCAAGGCCTGCATGGGAGTTGATCATTTTTCATTGTATGCTTATTTATACTGTTATGGTTTTGAGTTATTTTCAGAAATAAACTTTTTAAAAGGAAAAAAAACACAGACTTTGAAAGTAATGAGCTTCATAGAAGAGCTCCTGTAAAGAAGCCCCCGGACATGTGTTTCCCAGGGGACAAGGCAAGAAGCTGTGGGACCACAGGCTAAATCTAGAATTGAACACTTTGCTTGCTTTCTTTATGCTCTGCGTTTGTGGTTGGTAATGTTCGCTGTTGCTAAGAAGCATCGCTATTTAGGAACCCATCTAGGGTAGGATAATTACATTTGCTTTCAACTACAAATATCCACATGGATGTCTGCAAAAATATTAGACTAATTAAGTTTAGGAACAGGAATCCAGTATTTGAAATATAAGTAAACAGCCTTTTCCTAACGGTTGGCCCATGGAATTTACCTTGCATTGGGCAATAGGAGAAAATTCGCTTTCTAAAAAATTCATACTGTGTTTTTATTGTGGTAAAATACACGGAATATAAAATTTACCATTTCTCACTGGTTTTTTAGACCACACTGGCTTGTCTATTCCTAGTCATAACAGAAACTTGGGCACTTGGCGTCTCCTCTACCTGAATAACCTCCTGATGTTTGCAGGGCCAGCCCTTTTTATGCTTCTGGTTTCACCCAAATGTCTCCTTCCCTGATGACCTTATCTAAAGTAGGTGCCCCCACCCTCTTACTTTTATTATCATCTCTATCATAGCATTTATTACAATTTTCATTTATTTATCTGCATGTATATTTNCCTTCTACAGCTAAGATGATGAACTACAGCTCAATGATAATACCAACATGGGCCAGTGAAGCAACGTCCTCCACAACTAGACTGAAGAACAAAAAAAACAGCAATTTGTCTACCTGTCTGTTCTCCTTCCCCGATTCCCCAATGCTGTTCCCCTCCCCCCAATTCCCCAATAAAATCTTAAAAAAAAAATTTTTTTTCTCCTTTCTGCAGAAGTGATACATGTCCACTGCAGATAAACTAAAAAATACGGGGGGAAAAGAAAACTAAAGCCCCCCTTGTCCCCTCCATGACAATTTTCTGCATGTGTGCCCACACACACATGTTTCACAAACTTGGGATCAAATGCATTATTATTTTTTTTTTCAGCTGAGCCATCCTGCCACCTGTTGGCAGCTCAGCGGCTGCTCAGCTCGGGCCAGACTTGAACCGCTGTTGCTCAGAGCTCAACTCTTGAGCGAGCTCTTAACCAACTGAGCCACTCAGCCGGCCCCTCAAATGCATTTTTAAAAAACAAATACACTTTAAATTTTGGAATAACTTCAGATTTGCAGGAAAGTTGGCAAAGATAGTGAGTTTGTAAATACCTTCACCCAGCTTCCCTAATGTTAATATCTTACATATCTGGCAGATTTGTCAAAATTAACAAAACATTAATATTAACTAAACTCTAGCCTTTATTTAGATTTCACCAGGTTTTCCATAACGTCCTTTCTTTTCCTGGATGCAAGCCAGGATATCGCACTGCATTTAGTCATTGTGTCACCTTAAGTCTCCACTGGTCTATGACAGCTTTTGAGTCTTTCCTTGTTTTTCATGACCTTGACAGTCTTGAGTACTGGCCAGGTGTCCTGTAGAATATCTCCCAATCTGGCTTGTCTGACATTTGTCTCATTAGACCGGGGATGTGAGTTTGTGTAAGAACACCACCGAATTACAGCGCCTTCTCATCGCATCCTATCAGGGCAGGGCTGGGGGACACCCACGGGACACCACGATGCTGTTCACCTTCAGCACTTGGTTAAGTGGTGCCTGCCAGGCTTCTTTTTTTTTTTTCTTTTTTTTCTTATTTTTTATTATGAAATACACATTTTTTAGAATTAGTTTCAGCTGTACAACACATGCCAGGTTTCTTCATGTAAATCTATTTTCCTCTTTCACTGCTCTATTCCGTGGAAGCCAGTCACCCTCAATTCTGGGGATGGGGAGGGGGTGGGTTTTAAGCTCCACCTCCACTGTGGGAGAGTATCCACAGCAACACATATTATTTGGAATGTACTGTTGTGAAACTTGGTGTTTTGAATATCAAGTAGCCTAACATGTCTCCATCCAGAAAGCCCTTTCTCCATCTGAGCAGGGCAGTGGAGGATGCTGTGAGCATTTCTTCTCACTTCTGTCCTTCCGGCTCAGGAGGAAGAAACTGACCCCCAATTCCACAGGCTGTGAGTTCCTATTGAGGGTGCTATCCTGCAGGAACTGAGTGTTGGGGGGCCAGTAGGGGCATTGTGTTAACCTAGTCCTGCCCTCTGCCCCAAGCAGGAGAAGCCCGCCCCACAAAGTGGCCAGGGTTAGTTCTTGGAGCGTGGGCAGGTGCCCGGCCTCGCCCTGCTAAGGAGTGGGTGTGCAGTCTCCACCTGTGAGCTCAGAGGAATCACCTGACCTGTGGTGAAGGGGTGTCACCAGCTCTGCAGCCTGCCCTTTGCTGAGGTCACTAGCCTAAAAGGTGGCCAGGAGGTGGGGAGGGTGGTGGGGCTCAGCCACTGGGCCTTCCACCCCAGCTCTTTGATTTGCCTCGGCTGTGGGTCTTACAAACAACCCCTGAGACCGCCTCCTCACCCCCATCCTCCCCTATGAGCCCAGGAGGTGGCACTTCCCTGAGATTCAGTTTCAAGGCATCAAACCTTGCCGAACAGCTTATAAGGTTTCCTGAAAGAACATCAATCATGGTTTTAAGAAATTTATCCAAATAATTTCTGATGATGTCCTTTCTTTTCAGGGGTGGGGCTGGAGCCCGCCCTGCTAAGCTCTGGGTGCTATGCCAACCTCAGGAGGGCAGTGGCCTGGCCCCTCCTTCACTCCCCACCCATCTTGCCCCAGCAGGGTCGCTGCTCTGGGTCTCCAGGCCTGGAGTGGGATGGAGGAGGCTCAGGCATGAAGGAGGGTGGGCAGGACCTGCGCTTATCTTTTCCTCCCCACCCCCCTTGACTGAGGGCCCAGGTGTCTCATGTGGGGTGTGTGGTGGGGAGGCCTCATGGGAATGTCCTATAAGGAGGGGACCAAGGATGCTGCCAGCCCCTCTGACACGACCAAGAGGTCTGTGAGTTGGGAAGGGGCAGGGATGGGCGGGTTGGGGGGAGGTTGGTCTGGACATGAGGAGGGCCTGGGGCCCGTGCAGGAAAAGGGCAGCCCTGTGCAAAGTGCGTAAGCAGAGGGCCCGAGGCTGAGGTCCTTCTCAAGCCCAGGCCCTCTGAGCCGGCTGAGCTGGCCTGGGATGGGCTGGTCCACTAAACCACCTGGTGTAGCCATGGTACTTTTTTCAGGCGCTCGTGGAAAAAAGCACCAAGAGACACGGCCAAGGCCCATGCCTGCACCTGCCTTGAGTACTGAGTATATTGAACATCAATAAAAATTTTAAAAATGGATGTCAAGAAAAATGGGAAAAAAAAATCAACCATAAGAAACATTTCAAAGCAACAGAATTAAAAAAACGGGCTCTCAGCTCAAAAGGGACAAAACTGGAAGTTACAAAGGGTGTGGTAATTGAGGTTCTGTGAGCCCTCTGAAAAACGTGGCCTCTGTTGACGACTGTGGCTGCCTCACACAGATGCCTTAATGTCAGCCTCCTGCTGTAAAGAATCAAAGCTAAAATCAGCTGTCCTTACTCAATGTGGTATTTAAAAGACGTCATCAAACTGTAGTCCTCTTCCAAGTCCAGAACTGTCTCGATGACATTGTGATCATCGAAAGCCTGCCTGAGGCTGCCGGGGTCAGCGTCGGAGGCCTTCTGAGGGCTCTCGTCCATGAGCAGGGCCCAGACTTCCTCCTTGAAGGGCAAATCTTCACAGTGGCCACACACACGGTTCAATTCGTTTTCAAATTCTAGTTTCCCAGCTAATTCTTCAATAGTTCGGAGGCTTGTATGGTCTTAAAAATAAGAACAGTTGGCATTACAAATCCAATGAGAGGTTCCCAGACATATCAAGCACAAGGTAAAACTCACGAATGGGTGGCCACTCTCTTGGGATTGTGCAAAGCCGGGGCAGGTGGGCTGCCAGAGCCAGTGTCACATTTTAAGGGGGACTTGCTGGACTCCTTTCTGGCTCTGGCATTTACTGAGCCCCAACCAACTGCCAGGCCCCAAAGAAGGTGTGAATGGGAGGGTAGAGAGGTACATGTACACGTGTGTCCCGGCTCTCAGGGAGCTCCCTGACCTGCACACATGACAAGAGAGTGTGAAAAAAGGGGGTGTTAGAGTCATCAAAATGCTGCCTGACACCCGCAAAGGCCGTGAAAAATGGTGAGCAGAAGTGGTGACGACCTCAGTTCACCCGCAGAGGCCCCCAGGGGAGACTCAGTCCACGACAGCAGTGGGCTGGCCCGGGTCTTGCTTTGTGGTCTAGGGTGGGTACCTCCCCCTCACCAGGCCTCCCTTTCATCCCCAGTAACCTGGAGGCCCTTCCTTCAGTGCCCTTAACTAGGAGCTGTTTGTCTACTGTGTAACGGGAACCACTGCAAACAGGGCACACGTAACATCCACACACAGACTATAGAGGCGTGTGTACAAAAAATGTCTGACCAGAGGTACAGCACTATGTCAAGTCTCTGGGTGGTGAAATTACAGCGGAGCTGTTGGCTTCTGACATTTCTTTTAATCTTGTGTTACCCACCCCAGCTGAACTACTCTCCCATCTTTGCCTCTGTCCTGGTTCCTTCAGATCTAAGCTCAACTACCAAGTCCTGAAGGCCACTGTCCCCTGCCTCCAGGGATCACTGTAGCTAGACATTTCTGAAATGACTGCATCAGGCTTTCAGCTCCATGAGGGCTCTACGCACAGAACCTGCCATGAGCAAAACAAGCCTACTGAGTACATGGGTGAGTAAGTGTCACAGGACACTTACTAATGCAGGGGGCCGTGTGAAGGCCCTAACCTCCTGGGGAGGATGGGCCGGCCCGCTGTACTCACCGATCATATCAAGCACATCCTTTGTGACCTCTTGGCTAGAATTGCTGAGTGGCACGTTTGAGTCAACCTTCAAATCTTTCTCCATATCTTTCCTGCAGCCCCCAGGTGAAAAGAAAAAGGTGGGGAATTAGATCCTCTTTCAAGAAATTATTGAAGGGGATCGCCTACTAGCTAATCTTAACGACAAAAACGTATGGGTAACTGAATTATCATTTGTGCTGTGATTAGAGGACAAGTGGAAACTGCTCAGTGAATAATAGCATCATCATAACGACAGATGAGCATCACAGACTGTCGGTTCCTGTCTGAATACCGGGAAAAATATTTGTAGTTGAACCAGTTAAATGGCTTTTCCATTCTCTGCCCATATGGCAGCCAAGATGGCAGGACCTTAAAGTTTCATTCCACAGTTATCCTTGCCGTAACTCAAGATGCTGGGCGCCAGGCAGTCTGAAGCCACCCGGGAGAAGAGGTCTAGCGGAGATCTTAACCCCAGATAGTCTAAAAAGCTCCGGGCAGGGGGAGGGGGCAGAGACAAGGGTGAAGCCATGGGGACATTTAGCCTGTCCCCAATGTGGGCAAAAGTCACCAGAATTAAGGTTTTTGTTTTTGTGGCATAAAAAATAAGGTGGTTTTTAAAATCAGGTTCTTTTGCATTCACTACTTCTTGGGGTGCTGTAAACTGCTTTCCCGGACTGGCTGCACATCAGGACTCCTGGCCCCACCACCCACCCACCCACATGCATGCTTTCTGGGCCAGAATCTGTCTCTGAACTTCTAAATATAGTCGTAGAGCTCCCAAGGGCAGGCAGGAGCACAGTGTGATGGACTCAACTAGAATCTTCAATGTTTTCAGAAACGAGCCCCGCCCCCCCAATGGTAGCTATGAAACTTATCAAATCGAAATCACCTCAGACCGTCCTTCCTCCAGTTATCCCCATCGCCTGCCGCCCTCCACAACTGTCTTTCAGGTGCCAAAATGGAGGGAAGCAGCAATACGTTTTCCTTGCTGGTAAGAGGTTTTCTTTGGGGGCACAAAGCATGTGGCTTTGCACTCATTGGAGCAGGGTTTGGTGGAAAGGCAGGGCTCTCGTTCTCGGGAGCACACAGGACAGGAGCGAAAGGAGCAGCGGCCGAGCAGGCTGCTAGCGGGTTTCTCCGGCAGAGCAGCCCGCCCAGCGGGCGGCGGAAGGAGAGCGGCGCGGCGTCGGGCTCCGGCCTCTGCCGGCCTGGGCACTCCTGGGAATGGCGGACTCCTTCAAAGGCCCGGTCGATGGCTGCAGTCAGCTCCTTCCTGCATCTTCTCAGTTTTTCAGACATTTTCCCTAAAAGCGACCATGTCTTTATTATGTAATACATTGGAAATGTACAGAGCAACATGAGAATGTTTCGATGAGGTTGCAAACCACCCCCAAACGGGGCATCTGTCACGATTTCCTTGACCTTGATCACGCTACAGGCCGGAAAGCAGAGGAACCCCATACTCCCGGGAAACCCGTGTGGGTGGCAGGAACCAGCGATCCCGCAGGAGCCCCAGGGACACCCGGCACCGCCCATGCCCTGCCTCCCGGCCTGGCCCATCCCATCCGCAGCCCTGTGGCTCTCAGGCCGCCTTACCCTGCACCCCGCACCGCACCAGGCCCTTGCTCCGCAACCAGCCTCGTCCTCAACGGAACAGCGTGGCCACACTGCATCCGCCCCGCCCCCACACCCGCCAACGGTCAAGCGCGCGAGCCCCAGACCAGCGGCTCAGGTCAAAGGTCAGATTAAAAAAAAAAAAAGCCGGACAGTGTTTTTAAAACCCATTCGAAAGGGAAACTCCAGTCCCCGCACAGAGAGGCAGCCAGGACATGAGCTTGGGCTCACCACGACAAAGGCCAGTGTTGAGGGGGGGGGGGGGTTTGGCAGGGTGACCCAAGGGAACTCAGCAGGGCTGGGAAAGCCACAGCATAGGTCCCCAGAGGTCCCAGGTAGGGAGGGGCGGGTATCTCACTTCTCAGCAAAAGTAGGCAAGCCAGGGAGCCCTTTCTAGGCCTGACAAACTCGCAGGAAAATTCCAGGTTTCAAGCCAACATGGAGAGCAGTGGATGGGCCAAGGTAGCCAACAGTTTTGTGTACAACTCTTTTAAGTGATAGCTAATGAAAGTTCCACACAGTATCCAGCTGTCTCAATTCATCAAGGATGGCGGCAACATAACAGGACTGCTGGGTTCCACACGAAATGGAGCGGCAGGAGACCCTCACACCAAATATCTTCATTTCATTAGGAAAAGCTGGAAATTCAGACGACTCAAAAGGGAAACAGAAATGGGCTTCAGTGGCTAATTTTTAGGGAATTATAAACCCATCGCAGGGCACAGCAAGGGAGAAGGGGACATCAAGTTTACTTGAGGCCTGGTTTACTGTGGGCAGACTACTGGGGTGACCAGTAACTGGCACCAGAAGCAGAAACCCAGAGCTCAGGGCTGCCTGCAGTAGGTCTTGTCTTCATGGCTGCACCGCACTCTGTGTTCCTTTCCAGTCTTTGGAACCCATCAGACATATACCACTGGGTGCCCCCTGCCCAACCCCCACTCCGCAGCTCTAGGTTTTACAGCAGTTTCTCACCACCTGTTTAAAAAGAAAAATAACTCAGCCTCTTGACATAACCCTTCTGAGCAACAGGGTCCCTTTTTTTCCTCTCTCTTTCTTCTGCTCATAAAAGGGAATTTCTTCATCTGGTTTTTAGACCAAACACCAGTCTCCAGAGGGTCCAAGGTGTTCCCCGGGGGGATTACACCGGTGCTCCGGGTGGCAGGGTCGGAGGCAGCGTCAGTTGGTGTCCATGCTGCAAGCCCCGTCATCCCCCACACCCTGCTGGGAGCTGCTCGGTCTTGTCCCTCCGTCACAGGGCCCAGGAAAACTGGTGAGTGAAGGTGTCTTATAAAACTCATCATCTCGACGCTGGTAAAACAGCACATAAGCTGCTTTTGTCTAAAAAACACAAAAGAGGAAAAGTCCATTCACTGGTTGGAAGAATCACCCATTGTTCCCAGTTTTCTCTCACTTCAAAACACGCCCCTCTCAGGGATCTGCCATCTTGTCCTGTGCATACACACACACACAGGCGACTGGAAGGCCCTTCCACCTGAGGCTACTCGTGCCAACCCTCCCTGAGCCAGAGTTGAGAAGGGCAGGTGACCCATGGAGAGTACCAGAAGGAATGGCGGCCAACTCTTTCTCTACCACACTTAGGTTCCACTGTCACATGAGGATGACTAAACAACCAACTGGCCTGGGAGACTTCGGCTTTAAAACCATCAAAGAGGAGGAATCAGGTATCAGGGCCTACTCACCACTATCTGATCCTCAGAGGCCAGGGACACGTTGCTGTCATCAAAGTAGTACCACTTCCCATTCAGTTTGTTCTTCGCATGTGCAGTGTCTGCCAAAAAAAATACTCTAGCCGTCACCAGAGAACTAATCTAGTTCTATTCTAGCCTATCAGGCTTGCACTAACCAATACCACTCCAAAAAATATGAAACATTGAAAGTAATCTACAGCTTGCCTTAACAACCTGAAGATAACTCACATGCCCTTTAAAATCTGTTCCTCCTCTTAGGCTTGAAAAGGGTAAAAATGGATTGTCAGGGACCAGCGCTTTAAACTATAATTTTGGGAAATGAATTTTTAAAAATAGAGAAATCCCTGTCGATTTTCAAAATGGCTATGAGCAATAATCCAGAGCTGGGGGACCCATAAAAGTTGGTGCGACTTTAAGATTTAAGCAAAACACCAAGACATGCTGTACCCCCATTGTCCAGGCAGGGATACTCCTGCCTCTCACTGCCTCTGGAACCTGTGTCCTAGTCCCTGTGGGACTCATTGGGCACGTGGGTTTCAGAGCTGGGATGTGGACAGAGACTTCAATTTATCTTTCTCTAAAACTGTGAGTCAAGAGTCTGAAACTGTTCCTCACAATGATCCAAACAATCCCCACAGCCAACACTTCCTGTCTCGATGTTACAGTTTCCAAGCAGGATGTGTTTACAATAGCAATCCCCACAGCGGTGTCCAATTCCTGCTCCACCCAGACTCAGAAATGACAGCGTCTAATGGAGATCTGGTTTCCAATCTCAACCTGCCATGTCACTACCCCATTCCTCAGTAGAGTGCTGCCTGCAAAGTGGTGATGGAGAGCAAGGGGAAAGGTGACAGATGGTGCCAAGTGCCTCTCCCCACTGCCTCTGCTTGGCGTAACAGTAATGGTGGCTCTCAATCTGGGAGTTCCAACTGTGGACCCGACGTGGGCCCTCATGTAACCAGCCTAACCTCATGGATGAGAAAACTGAAGCATATGGAGGCTAAGAAACGTGCCCAAGTGGCGTGTTTGTATGCTAAAATGGCAACTAAAAATAAATGCATCTGACCAAGCATGAACATAATATCCAAGTCAATTTGGGGAGGAAAAGGTGTAGAAGAGTAAAGTAGCTGCAGGAGATGATGTGATAAGGGACTGCTAATGGCCACTCCAGTAAACCCGTTTTCAAACAGAAACAATTTTTATTTTCCAGCTGCTCCTACAGCTAGACATCGCCATGTGACCAGGTTACAGCCACTGCGATGTATGTCCACGAGTTGAGGGGACTTCTGGGAGGTCTGCTTAACAGGGGAGGTCCTATTCTTTTTTACTTTTCTTCTGATGGCCTAGAATGTAGATCTGAGGGCTGGAGACTGAACAGCCATCGGAGCTAATAGGTGACACAGAACAGGAGAGCAGACTGCTGGGCCAACAGAAAAAGCTTAGCAGTGTAGGGGAGAAGGATGGGGTTTAGGGCAATTCCGTAGTCTACAGTGAGTGTAAATGGAGCTGACACCTCCCCTAGCGTCACCTCTTAGGGTCCTAACACTGGCTGTGGTGGCAACTGGCACAGTGCTGATGCAGTAAAGGAGATACGAGGAAACACAGCTCCTCATTTCAACTTTTACTAACACCTTTCAGTAAGCAAGTAACAAAATGTACTTAGGTTTGTCTTCATTATAAAAGTAAACCTACACTTTATAGTTTAGGAATTTTGGAAAATAAAGACGAGCAAAGAGAAAAAAGTAAAATGAACATTTTGGTGCCTCTACTCCTAGGCTTCCCCACCCCCGTCATAATTTCTTCGCTTTCTGTTTTAACACAGCTGTGACACTACCTTTCGTAATGATGGAATTGTGTGTAGTTTTCACTTAACATGTCACTGGCATTTCCCCATATTAATTTCACTTTACAATGGCTGTGAACTCTTCCATCAAGTGGATAAAAGTAATGCCAACTCTTAATCACCGATGCTATTACTAATTTTTCATTGTTATAAACAAGTGAATATCTTTGTGCATAAAGCTTTCCCCAATGTCAAGTAATTTCTTAGGATAATTCCCAGAGGTGGGATTACTGGATTAAAGAATATGAAAACCACTGAAGCTTTTTAAATGAAGGGGCAGCAGTGTAGACAAGGTCTGAGGGCCGTGGAGCTGTGTAAGTACAGTGCTCAGGGCCATGCCTAGCACAGGGAGAGACTGGGGAGAGGTGATGGCTGTGGGCACTTCAAGATCTGAGAAGGAAGCAGATACCAGTACTTACAGTGGCCAACCCCCATGGCTCCATAATGATTGGACACAGCAATGAGGTCATACACATAAGGCCTTGCTGACAGGTCACAGACAAACTCGGACATGTTCAGACCTCTGAGCACAAAACAGAAAAATAGCCCTTAAATACGTTAAACTCAGAGAAAGTTGGTGTAACTTAGCAACCCTTTTTATGCAACAGGCTGGAACACAGGGAGGCACTCAAACATCAGCTGCAGGAGGAATGAACCAACCATGACAGGAGGGTCCCGGGGGTCCTGTTCTGACAACTACCATGTTCAGGTTAGAAAAGAGAAGCCTCCTGGGTAACCCCTACCCCAGACCAAATGGTGAGGGTTACAGTAACTATGTAGAAATGGCTGTTACTACTATCAAAATTACAATTGGTGCCATAAAAATTTAAGCTAAATACCAAAACAGGCCCCAGAAACATTCTCCCAATATTTTATTTTGAAAATTTCAAACATATAAGAGAAGTCAAAAGAATTTTGCAATCCCTATATACCCACCACCTAGCCACTCCCACTGACCCATCTATACTTAGATAGGTATATGTATCTACCCGCCTCCCCACAAAGCACTTTAAAAACTGCATTTCGTGGAGGAACTCCTATCTTGGTGACTTATTTTCCTGTATCAGTTACACTCTGTACTATGGACCTAAGAGGACAAGAGTAGACAGCCAGTCCCAGTCTCTACTTCAGGGACAGCAGCACGGTAGGTACGCACCCCCACCCACGGCCCCCCCGTAATCCAATCCACCCCAGCTGACTACTTCCGGGTTGCCTTGTCCCCGTTAATGAGAAGCAGCACTGTGCCTGTGCTGCCCCGCTGAGCCCAGGCTCCCTGGGACCAATGACATGGGAGAACCAGTAAAAGTCGGTGGCAGGAGGGACTCGAGAGGGGAACCAGCAGGGGCCGATATCATCAGCAGCTCCCTGAGCCTGGGAAGCACTTCAGCTGGAGAATCTTCCCAAAACGTGGGATGATGGGGAGGCGAAGTGAGCTGAAGTCTAACCTCCTAGAAACCAGCCACACACATCCCAATGCAGATAACCCTCAGCCAGCCAGTGACCAAATGTTCTCCTGTTTTTTAATTTTCCTGATAACACTGCAGCCCGGGGACTCACCTGACTGGGAA